CAGAAATCCTAAAGATGTTTGTGTCTCCTACTACAACTTCTACAAAAGCAGTTCATCGTTCGGGACCTTCCATGGCGACTGGCCAGAATTTCTGGAGATGTTTAGGGAAGGACACGGTAAATCTTCTTGCTATTCTTCGTAGCTTTCACCGACTATAAACTCCGGTAGAACGTTCTGGTTTTCGTCTACTTCTACTTTTTTTTTTTTTTGATCTTGCGTATTTGCACACAGACTGTTGATTTCCCGTCTCTCAGATATGCTCCGTCTTCAGAGGAAACACTTAGTCGACTTTACGACACACATTCTAGGGACAGTGGCTCTATTTTATGTCCCCACAAGGCGAACGCTAAGTCGAACCTCCTTTTTATCAATGTCTTTGTCATAGTATTATAAAGGGGCGCCCCCACATAGAAATCAATGGGAGAGGGGTGTGATCTAGCCCCTTGATAATTTTCTTGAGACTGGAAGCTCAGGGAACTTAAGCCGCCTTTAAGTGTGCAAAATATATTAATAAATATAACACTATTTTTGAAAAAATAAATGAAATGTATTAAAAAAAAAATTTTTTAAACTTCTATAACTGGTTAGTTAGAACCATTTAGCCTACTGCACATTGGTGTGGCGCTCACTCCATCCTTCCCCTCCCCTACTTACAAAAATCAGAGTCCCAAAAATTCTAAGGCCCAAAGGTTTCGGCGCCCCTACTGCATAATAATGAACAATAGAATAATTTTAAAAGATAGAGAGAAGCAGAACTGGTCAGCTTCACAATACCATAATCATGAGGGATTAATGATCATTGCGGCTTGGAAGCCTTCATCATCCTATAATACAAACAGGCAGAGATTCAATACAAACAAGAATGCGTTAGAATTCTTCTCCATACAGTGGGGCCTGTCACAAAATATCCGTCGTTCAAGAGGCTCTGTGTGACAATACTGTATTATTTGAACAAAGCAGACACAAACAATTGATTGCACAATTTAATGTCTGGCATAGTTTGTTGTATCCTGTCAGGGGTATACTACAGTAACAATTTATTTGAATGAAGCAAATAAATGAATCCTTCGAACTGAAACACTTAATCGACAACTTTATTAAATTAAAAACTTTGTTTCACCAGGGTAAACGCAAGGTGAAGAGCATGTCTTTCTGTCTGCATAATTCAGGACTAAACTGGTTTATAGCGGTCGCTTCCATAAACTGCAATAATCTACATTTAGCTGAAGTATAAATAATTTGAAATGCAAATTCACAACGTTAGAACATTGCTTTGATACTATCGTAGTAAAGCCTCCATATCTGCTTCACCTTCAACAGTCGCGGTTGGCTTCGTGGTCATAAATTCAGTTCTCAGTCATTGCTGATTTTTTTTTTTTTTTTTTATTCGTGCTTGCTCCTTAAGACTTGCTTTAGCAATGCAGAGATTAAACAGCATGTAGAGCATATGCCATAACAGCTGAAGTAAAAATGTTAAGAAAATGTATTTTTTTCCCTTGGTAACTAAGGGAAGTGAGACATGGACTTCTAATCGTTTGAGAAAAACTCTGAGCTGTTAAAATTTAAAATTCTTAGCATACCCCCCCCCCCCCCCCCCCCCCCCCCCTCCGAAGAAGAAAAATCGTCGACATCTTATATGATCTGAACATTGAGGAGAACTGGCTCACCAACACCATCCTGCCCCGAAAGCTGGGATGATTTGACCACATTAAACGTCATAGTACCCTCGAACAAATTTGTGATGGAGTGTACAATTTCTGGAAAGCGAATAAGAGGCCGACTCCCGCGAAGATGGTTATAAGACTTTGAAGATACATTGGCTATGGAAGCACAAGTGATGGAAAACTGGCAAGAGAAGGAGGGGCTTTATGGCGTTTTCTAAACTGAACGACGTTCTACTGAACTTGTTGACTGATGATGTTTCCTCTAAAGTAAGTTACAATTAGTTACATATCCTGTTGCGGGATGTGGCAACCTAACTCCAGCATTTGGTGGTTTTTTTTTTTTTTTTTTAAAGGTAATAAGTAAAGGATCTTTTTTCCGCCATCCGGCATATCGACATCACAGCACTCGTCACTTAAATAAGTCCTTAGACCCTCATCTTCAGGAGCAAGCAAAGAGTTCCGATTCCGATGGTACCAGTAACCGTCTGATTGTATATCCGTCTCATCCTTACCCTGAGTGTTGAGCGTCGGCCAGATTCTCTGGTAACTCCTCGCAGCGCCATTCTCCTTAGACCATAATGATCTTTCTGCGCCTCAGCACTGTTTACTCACTCCCAAAGGACGCTCACAATATCTAATTTGTCATACATCAGTTCACCACCAAGTGATGCGTAGCCAGCCAGTCTATCTGCGTGCTTACTTCCCAACACACCCGCATAACTTTGAGAAAATGTCCTATGGATGCTAACTACGCGGGATTTCTGAAGTGATGCTTGCCACTCTGCACGAATTACACCTTTACCTACCTAACACAAGTCCTTGGAAGAAAAGGCGGCCAGCGTGATGCTGACCACATCACCCACCAAGGGCCGATTGGTCTATAAAATATAGATCTAGCCCTATGTGCTCAAAAACGTCTAGAGGCGGGGGAATGGTTCCTTTTTTTTAACCATCCAACACATTTCATACCTGTCATATACATCGATACCTAGTTTTGGACAGATTTATTTTCAGCTTAAAAGCTCTAAATATACACAGCAATATACTGTACTTTTTTTTTTTTCTTAATCTTGCTAAACTGATGGTTCCTCAACTTTTTTCAGTGGACCATGGATCGTGGTTTGACTTTACCAAGAGCTGGTGGCCACTGAGAAAACAGCCCAACGTCAAGCTTATGTATTTCGAGGACATGAAACAGGTCATTTGTGAACATTTTTCCTGTTTGTCTCCTCTCTTCTGCACTTAGAGATAAGCGGGGCTTATTTTTTTTTCCCAGTATGGTTCCGAGTGCCCGCTTGAGAAGAAACAGAACAGACTCACTGATCCCATAAACACCCCACTCCCCCCCCCCCCACTACTCCCCCTTTTTTCCCCTCTTTTTTCCATCTACTTCTTCTTTGATCCTTCTGTCAGAAAACTTATACCAGAAGGCCTGTAGCCTTTATGAAAGCTATCGTGCAGTTAATATCTTCTCGTGTACCATAGTTTTGTTTTCATTGTGGTTGGAACAGGCCAGATTGCGTCTTTGTTGTCAGCATACAGTTGACAGTGTTGGAGCACAAGTTCAGCATTTTCTGGTGCCACGCTGCAGAGACAAGTCTTCGTGTTTCCTACACCGACAAGTTTGAACATATGTTGACGAAGTCCGTTGTGCCCTGTATTTAGTCTGAATATAATACATTGTGTATCTCTAGAGGGGCGATGAAGCGAATTTTGAGGAGAGAATTGTGCGTGTGTATCCAGCCATCTTTCTTGGATACTAGATAGTATTAATGTCTTAGTCTCTTGGTGCGTTAAGTCATTATTTGGTTGTACCATTGCACTGCCGCTTCTAGAGACACAAAGTGCCACAATGCTGACGAAAACTCCCTTGGGCACATGAAATCCTGTTCAACGATTAGGTTGTATTAGGGTCCCCAGAAGAAAGCCGAGGTTTAAATTACTTTACCCTGACCCCCAAAATGCCTCCCATTTTGGGGAGGGATTGAAAACTGTAACTGAAAGTTAGAGATCTCTCTTCCTCTAGTCAATTCTCCAGCTCTTTTTGTTTTTAATGACAAGCATGTCGTAAATGGCGACTAATTAAGTGTGCTTTTCTTCGAAGTTGAGGCGTAACTGCCTTAAAGTCGAGGAACCAGTAGCCCGCGAGCGAAGAAGCCAGATTTGTGAAGTGGGTGAGCACGTAAAACTCAAGTTCTGGAGCACGACCTAGGTCCAAAACAACCAGAACTTTTCGCTAGAATTTTGCGCCAGTTCTGTGCTGGTTTACTATTCTTCTTTGCTTACCTTTATATTCATGTTTGGGGACACTTCTTGTGACCTGAAGTTCTTGTAGTCTTTTGAGTGTTGCCGATTCAACATCATCTCCTGGATCATCTTCTCGTCCTGCCTCCTTGAGAGCATTGAAAAAGAAAGAAAACATAGGGACAAGAACCATTGGGACTCAGTTGAGCCAAAGACATTTAGAAGAGAGAACCGACCGAACCTCCCTCCCCTCCCCTTTTCCTGAAAAAAGTCAAAACATTCTTTGAAAGCTCACTTTATTATCAATGGAAATGCCCTTTACAAACATTTTTGGGTACATTTTATATTATTTCAGATAAATTATTACATTTAGTTGGTACTGGTACATTATTATAATGATTATTAAGTATTGTTTTTATTATTATGCTCTTAAACTAGAAGTATACTTAACACACTTTTTAATCACCTTTTTTTAATGTTTGTATTCGCAGTAGTGTTTTTTCTTGACTGTTTGATGCACTGGGGTTTGTTTTTAGTTTTTCGTCCCCTTCTGACAAAATTCTTGTAGCTCTGTTTTTTTTTTTTTTTTTTTTTTGGTATGTCATTATATATATATATATATATATATATATATATATATATATATATATATATATATATATATATATATATATATATATATATATATATATATATAAAGTTATTGTTGTTGACTATGGTAGTTTGAAAATTTTCTGGTCAGATACAATTTCAAACACTAAACTATATGAAGTCGCAAACTAATAAACTCAAGACAGTATGATAACCAAGAAAAGATGGAAATGGCTTGGCCACGTTATGAGAATATATTCTGATATACCTGCGAAAACAATTCTCACATGGATTCCAGAGGCGGCGCCGAAAAACAACATGGAGACGAACGATGGAAAGTGACCTGAGTGAGGCATCTCTGTCATGGAAAACTGCACTGAAGATTGCACAGGACAGGAAAGCATGGAAAGTCCTCTCTGAAGCCTTATGTCCCTCTAGGCTTTAAGAGAACTGATGGTAGTTTGAAACTGATGTGGAGGCATCAAACTATATAAAAGAGCTGTTCGAAAATTCAAACTGCAAAATTATTTTCCTGACAGAATCCGTTTGCAGAGATTAAGATGCTGGCTGAGTTCTTGGGAAAGGACCACATAGATGATGGCGTACTGTCCACTATAGCGGCCCATTGTAGCTTTGAGAGGATGAAAGACAACCCGATGACAAACCATCTTGATGTGTATTCTATTGACAGTTCTGTGTCCCCTCTTTTACGCAAAGGTATTATTTTTTTAAGTACTATATTGCGGTGCTTGTATGTCTAAGTGCCTAGATTATCACTAACATTCTTTGATATTTTGCAGTTACGTTTATGTATTTCTGTCCATTCGGATATTATGCGTGTGTGTGTGTGTGTGTGTGTGTGTGTGTGTGTATATATATATATATATATATATATATATATATATATATATATATATATATATAATACATAAATGTTTATGTATACCTGTTTGTCTGTCTGTGTGTATATCGACGTATATGTGTATTTATGTAAGTCACTATATCTATCTGTAAGTCATCAATCCCAAGTTCATTCTTTCTGTCAGTTTGTCAGTTTTCCTATCTGTCGGCACAGCAAATCCATCAATGCGTGGATAAGAACAACTTATCTTTAGGCGCAGTGAATTTGTCAATGGATCAGCAAAACATTTCTGCGTGGACAGTAAATCCATCAGTAAAGAATAAATGGGTCAGGAAAACATATATGTGCGCACACTAAATCCATCAGTAAAGAATAAATGGGTCAGGAAAACATATATGTGTGCACACTAAGTCCATCAGTAAAGAATAAATGGGTCAGGAAAACATATATGTGTGCACACTAAATCCATCAGTAAAGAATAAATGGGTCAGGAAAACATATATGTGTGCACACTAAATCCATCAGTAAAGAATAAATGGGTCAGGAAAACATATATGTGGGCCACAGTTAATCGTATTCTTCTTCTTCTTCTTCTTCTTTTCTTCCACCATTTACCTCATCGAGGTAGGGGCGAGGGGTTGGGGGGAGAGGGTTGTAAGGATCGTTAGTGCGCTTTTTCCAATGCACTGTAAAAGGTGGTTTTTATTTCTGTTAGGTTGCTCCTGATGATGTCACTCCATATCTTGCGTGATCTTCCCCTTGCCCTGTGTTCATTATATTTGTTCAGCGTGGCTCTCTATGACAGCTGGTACCAGGGCATTCTCGTTAAACTGGTGGAAGATTTAACTGCATACACTGTGATACCCAAGAAAACTTTAGGAGGTAATCCAATAATAAACAGCAAAGGAAAACATGTCTGTGGGCACATACTAACAAGCCAGTGTGTTATAAGTGACAGTAATGATATGGAAGCGCCTTACACAAAATTCGCAAACCTATAGCACATGTCGTGTGGGTGACAGGAATCAACGAGAAGGGAAAATTGGTTAGCGTGCTTGGTCAACTCATCCTGTTGAAAACTGTTACTTAGTGAGTGACCTTCAGCCGCACTTCGACCTACTACGAGCAATAAACACCTATTAACACAATATGCCACAATGAGGACGAGAACTCAGGTTAACTTAGGGTCCCTCGACGTAAGCCGGGTTAGGGCTTCAAAATACCCCCCCCCCCCGGTCTCCCAAATGCTTCCCATATTGTGGCGGGATTGAAAACTGTAACTAAGCTAGAAGTCTCTCTTTCTCTAGTAAATTCTTCAGCCCTGAGTGCTTTCACAGCAAATGCATCTTCAGTGACCTGTATCCCATTCGCTGAGGTCTTCCGGAAGCCACACCCTCCATCACAGTTCTCTCCAGACCACCATGGCGCTTGACATGCCCAAGATACCTCAGCTTTCGGCAGAGGATGCTGTTTACGAGCCAGTTCTTCCTGCCGTTCAGGTCATGCAGGATGTCAACGCTTTTCCTATTCCTGGTCCACGGTATTCTATAAACCTTTCTGTAGCATTTCATTTAGTTCAAAGGCCCAGATTTTCTTCTTCAGAGACTGAGTGAAAGTCAACGACTCACATCCATAAGTTACCCCTGGAAAGATGCATGATCTCGATATTTTTACTTTAACTTGCTTGCAGTTACTCTGCTATATTTTCTTCATACTTTATATAGATTAACCACGGCAAAATATAACAGGGCAAAACGGATTTATCATGACACGATCTTCTATATCGTTATGTGTGTTTGCGTTTGTGAAGAACGAAAAATCGTAACAGAGATTAGATGTTTTCGAATGTATCATAGTTAATATGGGGACATAACATATAGAATCAAGAAATGATAACTTCTTCTTCTTCTTTGTACACCGGCTTTAAGCTCAGGCAGAAAGTCCTGGCTGTTGGTCCATATGGACGGTGGCTTTGTGTCAGGACCTAAGCTTTGCATGTACATCCGTTTTACTGACTTTTTTGTGTGCAGTTGGTTGTTCCTTGCTGCTCCGACAGATAACCTCCGATTTCGAAGAAAGTCTCCAATTTTTTTTGACACCTACGACATGCCTGTTCGGAAGGCAGTGGGTCTCTTCTTGTTTTTCCCCACAAAGACGCCTAGGAACTTACACGGGGGAAAAAATAATAACAAGGTTTAGTCTGAAGCTAGCTACACAATTTATCATGGAATAGAAGCTGAAATTGTTTTGCCATTTGACAAAATATCCTAGTACCAGCTTTCACAGATAGTCGCGATGAACAAATTTTTTTACCTGCAGGGGATGATCGCAAGATAGATGGAACGCGACAGTGGGAACAGCCATTAAAAATAATGACCATCTTGCGTCACGAATTAAAAAAAAGCATAACCATAAAAATACCGCCCTCACCCTATGCCCGGCACACTTCCGAATACCGGCCCCATATTATTTACTGTCCAAAACATTCCTTTTAGAGCCTCAAGGGGTTCAAGAGGTTACAAAGAGGTCAAGGGGTTATAAAGAGGTTATACAAAATATGGAACAACAAATTATGGTCGTTGGGCTAAATGGGTACAGAGAAGATTTTTAATTTATGTAGCAAGTTGTGTATTGTTGATAAATTGTAAATCTGAACAAAAAAGACACAAACAATAGATTGCACAATTTATTGTCTGTCCTATTTTTGCTGTCCCTCGTCAGGTGCATACTACAGTAACATTTACATAAATGAAGCACACAAGTGAATCCTTTATAACTGAAGTACAAATTCAACAAAAACCAAACGCAACTGCGAGAAACACCAACATATGCCAGGCAATTATTTGTGCAATCGATTGTTTGTGTCTTCTTTGTTCAAATTTACAACGCGGAAACGTTGCTTTAAATTGTAAATTGTTGTCAATATTTCATGTTTCTCATTTACCAGGTTTGGTTGGAGATTGGAAAAATCAGTTCACTGTCAAGCAGAACGAGGATTTCGATAAGTTATACTTTGACAAACTCGGACAGTTGAATATTCCTTTTAAGTATACATTAGATTACTAATATGACTTTGTTTTACCGAGAACGAGATCCGATATGTTAATGATAAAGTATTGATATCCATATCACAGACTGGTATAGAAAACCTAATAACCTCAACGAAAAGAAATAGTGAAAATCACAACTTATAATACTTATATCTTAACATAGCAAAAACAGAGATAAGGCATACAGAAAAAAAAAAACTATGGAGAAAGAAATATATGTTAATGAGGAAAGATTGGAGGTTGTGGAATATTTTGAATATCTTTACCAACAATGGTGACACAATGAAAGAAATTAAACGACGACTATCAATTGCTCTTCAAAGACTAAAACAATTGAATAAATTATGGAGTGGGACAGATAGAACTACAAAAATGAGATGTCTAAGAGCATGCATCTTTCCCATTGCAACATACGCCTGTGAGACCTGGACACTTACTAAACAAGCTGAACAGCGCATAAATGCCTTTGAATACAAATGTTATAGACGGGTTCTAAGAATAACATAGGTAGATTTTTTTTTTAAAACAAATGCATCCATACTTCAAGAACTGAATATTGAAGAAGGTTAACTATTAAAGACGATAAAACACAGAAAATTGAAATATTTTGGTCACTTAAAATGACACGAAAGTTTAGAGTACTATAATGGATGGGTATATGCCTGGGAAGAGAGGAAGAGGAAGACCAAAGAGAAGATGGGTGCAGGATGTGGCGGATGATCTCCAGATGGGTTTATCGGATGCGGGACATCTTCTTGCTTGTGATCCAGTAGTTTTCAGGAGGGTTATAAGAGCAAGGTTTTGCAAAGGGCATGCTACTGACTGACTGATACAGAGAACACTTTGATGTATACACTAGATTACTAATACTACTTTATTTATTCCAGAAACACTTTCAACGGAATTTTTTTATTTTTTTTTTTCAATTAAAAAGTTGCCGACACTTACCACCAAATATCTACTAAAGTAGCGCCCACATTTTATACTTTATGTTGTGAAGAACGCCCAAATGTCAAACAACGCTGCAGTTTTATCGCAAGGGATAGACCAGAAATATCCCTTACAATAATTGATAATCTTACATGCCTAGTTACACAAGATGACTCATCGGAGAGTGGAAAATGTCTCTCCCTGTTGTATCTTGTTCAAGATCGGTGGATTTCACCAGATTAAAGTGGCCATAAATTGGGTGAAACAGTAGTTATATCAAAGAAGAAAATAACTCCAAAATATGACAGCAATAAAAGGAAAAACTAAGTCAACAAATTCAAGTATTTTGAGACATTCATAACATCAGATGGACAATGTGTGACAGACTTTAGGAGCAGAATTGGTCAAAGGCATCAGTTCAGAAGATAAAAAGTATCTTATGTGATGTAATAAATCACTGTAATTAAACATCAGAAAACAAGTACTGAAATGTTATATCGAGCCTTTCTTTTGTATGGCAGTGAATCTTGGAATGTAAGCAAACAAATTAAGAAGAGTTTGGAGGCAGATGAGATGTGGTTCTTGAGAAGAATGTTGTGAAAACCTTGGACTGCCAGAATAACTAATAAAGATTTTCTCGAAAGAGCTAGTAAGAGTAGAATATTATGTACTTCTTCTTCTTCAGCGATCTCTGGTCATGCGCATAATCCACTGTGGGTCATAAACTGGGATGTCTTTTCAAGGTCTCTTAGGTTTCCCCAAAGCTTAGTTGTCAGTTCTACTGGGTGTTGCCATATGTCGCTTCGCAGCTCCGCCAGGAGAGGACAGTCTTGCAGGACATGTTCTGGAGTCTGTTCAGCACGAAAACACTGACAGAGAGCTGTTTGGCTCATACCTAATTTATATGAGTGTTTATTGAGTCTGCAGTGTCCAGTGCGTAAGCGAAAAACTGTGACTTGGTCTGTTCTGTTCAAGTGCCTCAGAAAATCTTTTCCGTAGTCATAACCAGTGTTGTTTTTCCAATCTGTTTCTGATTTTCTCTTAATGAGAGTTTTGACTTCTGGAAAAGATAGTGGCTGGTAGGTCTGTAGTTTGTTACTGCCTTCCTTGGCTAATGCATCTGCGCTTTCATTGCCTTTGATGCCGCAGTGAGACGGAATCCACTGCAAGTGAATTTCTGCCTTATTTGACAACATAGCAAGTTCCTGTGTTATACTTTGTAGTGTGCTGTCGGTAGGTTTGGACTCAAGGGCCTGTACAGCTGACAGTGAGTCAGTGAGGAAAACTACCCTGCCTGCGGTGATTTGCAGATTGTTCATATACTGTGCTGCCATCAATAGAGCTGAAAGTTCTGCCTTGTAGTTAGAGCAAGTTCGTCCGGTGGGGGCTGCTAGGGACACAGTAGTGGCATCTGGGTGTTTTATGTAGACACCTGCCCCACCATTCGTAGTTGCCTCTTTTGCTGATCCATCCGTGTAGATTCTTGTCCAGCTGTCCTGTGGGAACATGTTGTTGAGGTGTTCCATTGTGAGTGCTTTCTTCACTAAAGCGGGCTCAGCATCTTTGTTTCCCAGGTTCGGGATGGATGTTGACACATTGAGTGTCAATAATTCGGAGTCCCAGAGATCGAAAGATAGCTCTTTAGGTGTACATTGTTGGTTAAGTAGTGAAGAGAATGACTTTTCCAAATTCCTTCGTTAGATGGTTTAGGCTTGTGCGCTTTATTCTGTTTTTTGTCCTGGCTGCCAATTTTTCGTGTAATGGGTGGTTTAACATTCTCTTCATTTTTTCAGCATGTAGAATTGCTTTTGTCCTTCTTCTTTCTTCTAAGGGGATGATGTTGGCTGCCTTTTCCATTTCTACAATAGGTGTAGATTTTATGGCTCCCAGAATTGTACGCAGACTTCTATTTTGCGTTTTGTCTAGTATCTGTTTATTGGAATGGGCTGCTGTTATCCATGACGATGATGCGTATTCGAGAGTTGGTCTGACTGTGCCGGTGTACACCTGCTTCAAGATACAACTGTCTGCTCCCCAAGTGGTGCCTGCCAATTTCTTCATCACACCTTGTTTTCTCATGGCTTTTTTGTTAGTTTCTAGTATGTGATGTTTCCATGTCAGGCGACTGTCAAGCTTGACTCCCAGGAAGGTTGGAGTATTGGAGCGTGGAACAGCATCATTGTTGAATTTTAATGTAAACTTTTCCTCCTTTGTAGACAATGAGAAGAGTGTTGCTACAGTTTTGTTCCTGTTTACTTCGAGGCCCCATTTGTTGGCCCAGTTTATGACACTATTCACACTTTCCTGGAGTTTTGATATAGCAGGTCCAATGAACTCAGAGGTGTACCACACAGCTAGGTCATCTGCATGAAGAGAATGTGATACATGTCTGGGTAAAGTTTGAGGTAGGTCGTTGATGTAAATCAGGAACAGGACTGGAGACAGTACACTACCCTGTGGTACTCCTGCTCTCAGCTTGAATCTGGGGAATATTATGTACACCAATGAGAAGGAGACAAACAAAGTTCTTTGATCATTTGATAAGAAAAGGAGCACTGGAAAATATCGCGACGACTGGAGAGATCACTGGTAGAAGAGGCACAGACAGACCAAGAGAAATGATGGTGAATGGCTTATACCAGTCCCATTAAGGAATCTGATCAGTGGAATTGATCCAGAACACCAAAGATCTGTGGGGGCGCAAGAATGCCTACGCCAGTTGGCAAAGCATTTGATAATGATTAATTGGCTGAGAAAGGGGGGGGGGGGGGGGGGGGAAGAGGGGTTGTCAATCTTTAGAAAAATGCCTTTTAAAAAAAAGTCCCGGTACTGTGTACTGCTGCGTGTCAACAGGAAAAACAACTGCTTTTGCGTATGTATATACTAAATTACGAATATCGCTTTAGTTACATCATCAACCATTGCAGACCTAATTGGTAGCTACAGTAAAACTTTGCCCCCTGTATTAATACTGTGTGATGTTAGTTATATATATAAATATATATACCCACGATATGCTACCAGTGTCAGACATAGTCACTCTTAACAACTAAAAACATAAATTTAGTAACCGTGGAAATGTGATGTCTGAGAAGAGCTGCAGTAGTGACCGGAAGAGATATAATCAGAAATTAGTTCAAAAGAGAAAAGGTTAGCACAGAACCGATTATAAATTAATACAAAGACAGCAAATCAAATTATTTCACCACTTAAGCGAGAACGCCTTGTGGTGCCATACCATATGAGGCATACACCAAAAAAGGAAAACAGCGTAGCGCACAAGGTAGACCAAGAACAAGATGGAAAGGTAACATGACTTGCAAAAAAATCGAATAAAGGAGAAACAAAACACCCATTCATTGTCATTACCAGAAATCAGAACACTTATCAAGGGAAAATACAAGGAATTGTGGAGAGAACAAACAGTAAACATCTGCAAGACCCCATCAGCAGACTCAACAGAAAGCAACATACAATTTTCCGTCTACAAACATAACACCGTAGGCTCAACTACCAAATGCATAAACAAAAAAGATTGTACAGTCCCTACAGTGCGCCTGTCAAACAGGACCACAAACACCTGAGCACATTCTGCAAACCTACCCACGCTACCTATAATTTCAAAAAGACACTTGGCCTCAAGAGCAAAGCGTGCAGAGCAAGCTCTGGGGAACTATGAACTACCTGCTGCTGACAAGCGAGTTCATACAGGCAACACACCTGATGGTTTGATCTGAGCATATGAAACCAAACGCAAAGAAGAAGAAGAAACTTGGTCTCGCATCTCCTCTTAACGTTAAAAACCATCTATTCTTTATCAGCCTCTCGAGAAATGGATGTTCCATCTGTTCTGACTAAAACTTTTATCCTTACAAAATTAACGTATTTACAAAATAGAAAATGATCAGAAGCAAAAGTCAAGTAAAGAAAGTGATGTACTCTACTGAAAAACCAATAAAATATTGCTGTTCATGTTATTTTTGTTGTTGTTGTTTTGGCTTCACTGTGTTGATTCGTGGTGAACTGCATCTCTGTACTTCACAAGGCGACACATAAGCTAAGCTGTAATTAGAAACAGGACGGGCG